AGCCCAGACAGATACAACCCAGACAGATACAGCCCAGGCATTGCAGAACAATGTGCTTCAAGGGAATCATCTGTTCAAAATCCTTGCTAGTATAAATACGCATCGCTGCATTGGTCAGCAAATAACTTATATTTTGGAAATATTTCAGTTGATTTCTTAAAGTTTCCATTGACTCGTTTTTAAAAGGATTTCCAGAAAGGAGCGGAAATGAAAAGAAGGATGGATGGATGCCCTTGACTATCTATAACTGTGTCTGCTCTCTGAAAACGGTGTGAGATGATAAAAAGGATGTTTGCAATAATGTGTGGCTCACGCTCACTATTATCTGCACTTATCCAATAGAGTTCAGAACCAGCAGCCAACACCGTGCGACTTGGACCCCAACTGACATGTATCGCTTAGTTCTGCTTTAGGGAAACTAATCCTGAGGCTTTATGGATGTACTGAAGAGAATCTAAGAGCAAAACATACCATCTATCATTTTAGAATTTCTGACTGGCATTATTTACATCTTCATATGCAATTAAACTTCATAAATGATCCTTTAAAAAAAGCATAGATGTTATGTAGATACACACACAACTGGGCAAGAATTACTGCCATTCTCTATTTCTGCTCTACACCGTAGATGAGGCTATTAGCATTTAGGAAGGAGGCACCTTAGTGGACTGGACATCAGAGGATTTTTAGGAAAGGCATTAAGTTTTTCACGTCTGGTCCGTTTACTTCCTTCAGCCCGCCTCGCCTCGCGATCAGTACCATCCCCAAAGAGGTTTATCTTTTCCACTTGGTGATTTGCTGTCAGTTTGCTCGGCTCTGGGCACACACAGGACACGCAGGTCTCAGCTGAAGGACCCTAGTGAGGTTAAGATGGAAAAAGGGTCAAAAGTCTGTCATATACCTCTTTTTTTTTTTATCACAGAAAATATCGAAATGGTCTGGAATGAGGGAACAAAAAGAAATCTCTCTTTTTTTTTTAATTAGCTTGAAATCAGTTCAAAGAAAAACCTCAGAATCAGTTAAATGTTCCAGTAACACGGCAATGCAGTGCTGACAGAGAGCTCCTGCTCGTCTGGCATATTTAACATTTTCCGTGTGGTTAAGGGTTCATAACCAGCCCAACTGCGTTAGCAGTATTATAGCAGCGCGCGTCTGGCATGTACTTTGGGCTTCCTGCACGGCACTGCAGCGCGGGTGTCGTCACTCGTATAAAAAAACGGCGTGTATAAAAGTCCAGCGTGAGCGCTTAGAGAGGTACCAGAAAGCACCATGAACCTCAGGCTGGTTGCCCTGCTCAGTTTGTGCGTCTCAGCCCTCAGAGGTGAGTAACTTTCCTTATAGCCGATGCGTCCAGAGAGTGGGCAGCGTTGCCTCTTTAAATGCAGGGGCAGGTGTTTTTCCTGTTGTTTTTAATGGGGGGAGCTGATGGAAATTGCTTTAGAATACATTCAAATAAGATGGGGGTGGCGGAAAGTTTTACATTCAAGTAACCCCCCGAAAAATACATGTAAATAAAATATTATAATCAACAATGGGAGGCAGTTCATTATCAGTTTGCCATTACAGTTCACACACCCACCTATGACCATCTTGATTTTACATATTCAGTAGCTGGGCCCCAAAATCCATGGTGACCAAGTAACTGAGAAAGACCAGGCCCTTCTGATGGGCTCAGTTGTGGATATATATTATGTTGTCTTATATCATGTTATATAAATAAATTCGTAAACATTAAACTAAGGCGTCAGTGCACTTTAATGATCATATATCTATTCAGATAAATAGAGAAGTGAGACTGTGTGGTTTGCTCTGTTCGGACCAGCTTGAGGTATAAGGTGAAAATGCGTAATTGTGAAACTGGGCAGCAAATAGGCTTGTGGTTTTAGGGCTGTGACCAAAGGGCTTACCGCTTATAATTTGGAATGGGCTTTGCTCCAATACCCACGTAAATGAGGTCACCACATGATTATCAACGTGCACAAAGCCGGCTGCTCACGGACACCTTCCCCTCCCCAGCCCTTAAAGTGTACCAGCCCTATCGGATCCACGGCAGAGATGGGCAGCTCCAACTCAACTGCTCCTACCGCCTGCATGCCAGGGTGGAGGAGGTCCATGTGACGCTGTACCGAGGCATGCATGGTGACCAGAGGGTCTGCAGCTCCACCCTCAACCACACCGCCTCTTGGCAGCCCCTTCAGGCCCAGCAGCAAGGTCTCATCCACTGCATGGCGGAGCTCAGGCCATCCGGGGTGGTCCTCCTCATCTCTGGCCTGCAAGTGGAGGACACTGACTTCTACCGCTGCATGGTGGAGGTCTTGTACCCACCTCCTTATCAAAAGGGAACTGGGAATGGGACTCTGCTTCACATCCAAGGTTAGCTGACATAATGCTTCTGACCATTTAGGGCCTGGCTCATGCTTCCCCAAAGGGTTACATTGACATTTAAGGATTCGAAATAGCAGCAAATTTATCATGCAATCAAACAATCATGGTACCTGTAGTGAGACCACCAACTCAGACCAATCATCTTATGTTCCAAATGTTTTAGGGCTCCTGAACGCCCTTTACAGTGTCACTTTCACGCATAGAGTCATGAGTTCAGGCTTCAGCCCTCCAGTCCAGCATGAAGTCGCCCAGAACCCTCGACTGGGACCGATACGGTGCCGAATAAACGCGGTACCCTGACTTCAGGCCACCTTAGAGCGCGTTCCCGTCGGAGACGCGCAGAACCCTGGCAGCCGCACTAGCGGTCCTGCGGTTTCGCGCTGTTGTGCGCATTGCGCCAGAAGGGGTGCCCCCGAAGGCGGCGGCGCCCGATCGCGGAACGCACGCTCACGTCATTCGCGGCAGAAGTCAATGTTGCCGTGTGGACGTAATGTCACCCCTATTTTGTTCTTCAGGCATGTTTTCCCCGCAGAGGTCTGATAGTTTCAGGGCAAGGCGTAGCGCAAGCACACGAGGCAGCACTTGGTCAAAACACAAAACACTTCCTCTGCTTATCTGGGTGTTTTTCTTACTTATTTGAGTATCAAATATAGACTTAAAGAAAAGTATATAGTTTCTTAAAGTTCTTTTACAGTTTTAACTTACCCCCAATGTAATTTTTCTTTAATATAAGCAATGTCAGTCACGCACTTCTGGGTTTCCCTCGGGTACAGAAATCTGCCCTCATGTATACCGGTCCTTCGGTTCTATGCTGTGCAGCTACTGACATTTTCCCCCCGTAAACCCTCCAGAGACACCCAGCTGCCCCGAGCCCGAGCCCCAGACAGAGGAAAGCACAGAGGACCCCACGGTCCTTATTCCCGCCGCGATGATCGCGGTGATCACCGTCTGCATCGTTATCATAGTTGCGGTCATCGTCAAGGTGAGCCCCGCCGGGTGTGCGCCCAGTCTCCAGGAGCGCGCCCCAGCTGCGCGCCCGGTCTCCAGGAGCGCGTCCCCGCTGCGCTGCTTTTGCTGATGCCTGTTTTTCTCCCCGCAGACTGTCAGAGTCGGCAATATGAAAAGGGATTACCTCGGCGTCGCACGTGTGGCCGCAAGGAGGGTGGACTGCAGATTCGGCTATGAGAATTTCCTGTAAAGTACTTAACGCATAAGCTGAAACAGAAAGAAGAAAAACAAGCCGTCCCGCTGTGAACATTATATGTTTCTACCATACACGAACTAAACTTTACAATGTAAAGCTATGTTAAGTACAGGTGATTTGGCAAAGTGCAAGTTTAATATTAAAGACGACGGGAAAAATGACAAAAGGGATATTCCAGCGCGCTGCATACAAAGCAAAATGGTGTGGTTGCCGGGGGAGGGGAATTAGTAATATTTTATGTCATTGTTCATCATATGAATAGACGCAAAACTTAGCATCTTATTGAAGACAATCTTATGTAGCAGGGGGGGGGAGCTGTCTTGGGAACAGTCTGCATGTAGTTTACCTTGTGCCTTGCTTCTTGCTGTGTAAATATTCCTGCAGCTGCAGCTCTCCGGCTCCGTGTGGGTTTATCACTATTCGGTTATGAATCCCATAAGCTTCTTTTTTTTCCGGACAGTCATAGGAATATTAGGCGGACTGTCAGACAGAGGGCGGTGTAGCGACAGTAAAGGTTACAGATTAGGGTTAGGGTTAGCCTACGGCTGATCGTGAAGGACGAGAGGGCGCAGATTTGGGGAGGGACAGCAGGAAGAGCAATACTGCGGGAGTACGATGTGTGTCAATGCTGAAACCAAACCTACGCCAGTGGAAGGACGAGATCGTTTTTGCTATACTGTTCCGGAAAGATCCTTTTCAAATGGTGATTTCTCAATATAACCTCTCATTACGCTGTTTTGGTGAAACAAACCTTGACGAACAGGGTCGTTTAACTCACTGTAAATATTTCTGTCAATGGGCTGAACTTCTTGAGATTTTTTTACTTAATGTATGAAAAATTCTTTAATAAAAACAACTGAATGATTTCTTTAGTGTTGCTGATTATTGCTTTTTTCAGTCACTCAAGTTTCATATAAAGAAAAAAAAGTAAATGAAATTAGGCTACCTGAACCAAATGGAAGGCATTTGCCATATACTGTTTCCTGAAACAAAATATATATTTTTTGTTTACCAGTGCATAATACCTTACCTAAGATGGACTGTAATGCCTTACTTTTATTCATGCATCTGCTACCGTTTTACACTAATCCATATGTTGACATTGCCCGAGAATTTACTGAACTGTTGCCAACGGGACTTCACAGAGTTTCAATGGAAACCCACCCAATCTCACCAACGCAGAAGAAATTCCCAACCACTGCATCTACTGATCTGAGAACCAGCGTAAATCCAACACACCACTGCAGGCACTTACCAAATCTTACCATGTCACATCTCACATCTCAGACTAACTTCCATTTACAAACAACAGAGGCTATTCTCTCTCCCATCCTCACGAGGAGCCAGAGGACACTGCTCTTATAGGTAGGCGAGAGATTCGGCATGAACCTGTGGGCTGGGGCGCAGCCGCCATGGAAACAGACTGACCAGAAGACATGCAAGGCAGGTATTTGTCTGGAAAGCAGGGGTTTGAAAAATGAAAACAGAAAAACCGCAGAGAGACAAACAAATGAAACAGCAGCAGGTTCAGGATTTATTTTGAAGGTGCAACACAACACATGCCAGACAAAGTAGGTCAGCATTTTAAAGGAATGTACCCCAGCCTAGCCCAACAGAACTCAAGTCGGTCCGAAGCGACTCAACCCCCAGCCCCCTCGGACGCCCTGACGCTTTGTCCAGACGAACCTTCCTCTGTAACACTACAGATCAGACTTCGGAGAAGCTGCTCCTTCTCTTCATAGGACAGAGTTTCAAACTCATCTCGGTGCACCTGGGGAACGAGGGATATATCGTCACCGGTGTAGTAGGTGCGGTGACTGTGAAAGCAGCACAGGTGACAAAACCAACATTCTCGTAATGAGCCACTATCATTCATGAATAACACGGGAAGTGAAGTTGAGTCCAGCACGCACAGGCCTCATGTCGCATCATTCGTCACTGTCAGGACCTACCAGGACGGGCGGGTAGCCAAGGGCCTTGAGGTGACGCAGTTTCACAGCCAGAAGCCCCCGTGGGTGACGAGACTCCAGACAGAAGGACGAGGCGTGTACATTCAGAACAGCTAGGCTGAAAGGAGGCCGAGATTGCATATCAGATGCGAACGCGTTCATGATGACAGGACTGACCGCATGCTACTCATACCACTCGTGATTTTCGCTGGCTTGGTTTCCTCTAATCTCTTTAAATGCTGCAACAGCAAAACTTAGCACGCGTGAACAGCCTAAATACTGAGCCGGTCCGCCGTAATATTGCGTGCTGAGGATTTTGCACGAGTTTGACGCGAGGACCCAATGGCGCTTTGATGCGAGTGAAAGGGTGGACTGAGAAGTCATGGTAAAAACAGGTCAAGGATTCATTTTCACGCACAAACTGACAGGTCTGAAACAGCACCTGCGGCATGGCTCAGGGGCGGACGACTCATCGCTAACGCCAACGGGCTCCGGTGTGCGAGGCGGTGGGGTGATTACACAGTCTGAAACACACACATGCACACCAAGTCAGCAGAATGATAACAGGTTATGACAGTTTTTGAAAACAAAAAAAAAACTGGCTTGCTGAACACTATGTGGCTACACCAGATACTGAACACTGTGGCTGAACACAAGGCAAGCGGTTTGTTAAAAACCCCAGGCTGGTTAGACCACGGAGTAAAACGTCTTTGGGTGAACATTAAGTTTTGCTATCAAAAAGATATAGACATTTCCATTATTTCTAATAATCTTCTTTAAAACGATGCTATTTTTGCTCTTCTGTCGCCAATAGAACTGGGAAAAAAATCTGCCAGTAGAGTAGGTTCAGTCACCTAGGAAATAGCCATTCTCCAGGAGCACAGCCTCCTGCACTGCCCCCTCTCCCAGAATGTTCTGGAGCACCTCGATTAGGACTGCACTGGCAGCGGGGGTGGGTTGCGTGGGATGGGGGGCAAGAGAGCCAGATGGAACCTTAATAGGGGAGGATGGATGGTCGAGACGCAGGCAGAGGTCGATGTAGTGAAGCTTCTGCCTGTTTGCCCAAAGATGGTCACCATCTACAAAAGAACGCCCAGCGGTGAAGATAAATTTGCAAGCTCTGGGGAATGTGATGGTGGGATGGAGCAGACCGTCACCCTGACCTCCGGAGACCAGCTCACTCAGAGCATCTTCATGGAGCAATTTCTCAAGGGGCGTGGAGGGAAAATGGCCCAGGATGCAGAGGAAGAAGACAGCCTTCAGAAGCTCCACACGAGTCATTCGGGGTAGGTACGATTCCAGCAGACTGGTCACACTGTCCAGAAACCTGCAGAGGCGGGGGTGGGGTGACCAGCTGTTTCACCATCTGGCACATTTGGTATCTGCATTAGAAACCCCATAGGAAGTTCTTACTCTCTCCTGTGGTGCTGAGGAAGATGGCTTAAGGATGAGTATGTTTTCAGTATGGCCATGAGATTCTTCTGCGTGAACGGGGTGGGGTCTCGAATGAACTTCTCAGCAACCATATCCATCAAGGAGGCTGGACGGAAACCCATCTCCTCAAAAGCCAAGAGGAAGAGGACCAACTACACGAAATATGAACTACAAACGATTAGGCATCTTAACGATATGCAGACAATTCTGACACAGCAATTCACTGAAACCAAATTATTTCCCCCTGGGGATCAATAAAATATACACTAGTGGCTGAAATTGTGGAAGCACCTAGCATTTTGGGCATTACGCTTTAAACATTACTACATGATACTGCCGGTAATGCTTATAAACAATCAAAGAATGTTACAAATATCATACACTGGGTGATTAAATAAGCTGGAATGAAGTTCTGCAATCTCTAAAAATTGGAAGAGTTTCCACAATTTTGGCCACTACTGTACTATATTATCTTATTAAACCACAGCAACTGGATGCGTGTCTGCTCCAAAGACAGAGGGCCAGAGCACCAAGCCCACAACCCTGTCGAAATTTTACTGAAAGCTACCAGCTACATACCAGCACTCAGTGTTAGAAAATGTAAAATAGCAGCAGATCTGGAAAGGAAACTGCACCTGTTTGCTAGTCCACACACCAAAAGTGGACTCCAGGTATTCTGCGATAGCGGACAGCATGCGATGGTCCCTGTATTCCAGAGCTGCACAAGCCTTCAGGACCTGAAGCAGCCTTCCGAACGGGACGCAGTGGACGCTCTCTACACAAAGAGGGGAGACCGAGGGCTGCTGTGAGGTACAGGGAGAAGGACGGGCAGGGGTACACCTACTGAGCAAAGGCGGTACTGTACCAATGAGCTTGTTCCTGCAGATGTCCAACAGTGGCTTGGAGAAAAAATTAATGGAGGCCAGAGTGACGAACATGTACTGGGTGTTGGGGAGGGTGAACTGGTCGGCCATGGATATGGCTTTTTCCTGGAATAGAGCCCATCAAATCACTGACTCTGCCCCCTCAACCAGCAGTATAGAAGCACGAACAAAGGGGCGGGATTTTATGACCCAGGTGGCCTAAACCCCGCCCCCACCAACCTCCAAGCTCTTTTTCAGGCCGGCGGGCGACTCTCTGCCGACACAGCGCATCAGGCTCTGCAGTGCCATCACGCTCTGGATCGTGGGAGCACGGTCCGATATCAGGAGCCTGCATCCAGAAACACAGACACACACAGCTTATACATGTCATTTCAGTAGTAATAAGCCCCTTTAATTCCATTACCCAAACATCTCTGCTACAGTTCACTCAGTATGTGTTAGATTTCTATCACCAATCAGTGGGGCCAGCACAGCCCAGAGCTCTGGTACCAGTCGATTTAACCAAGACACATTGATAAAAGCTACTTGAACCAGAGTTTCATTACAGCCTAAGTGCTGCTGACCTAAGAGCTTCCTTGAGAGCATCCACGTTCCTGCAGCTCTGCATGTTCTCCAAGCAGCTGGCCAGGACAGACAGGGACCTCTCGTTAAACTCGTTCAGTCTTTCCTGCAGGAATGCAACATGGGATCATTGAAGACCACGGCGGAGGAGGAAACACTCAGTAAATCAAATCGAATCACTTTGTCACAGCACATGACTCTTGCAAAGTACAGGTGAGAGAGAGAGACTTGACAATAAACCAACCCATTACAGGTTTGCAAAGTCTAATTACTCCCATCAGCAGATCAGATTGCACCATCCTGGCTCCTGTTTGCTTACCTGTGTGACCCGCAGGAGAGTCTGCACCACGCGGCTGCGCTGAGGGACCCCGAGCCTCACTAAGGCCAGCAGGCAGTACGGCGCATCGCTCTGCTTCATCTTGTGGGCGTCGCTCATGATGCGCAGACAGAGATCCCGGAAGGCGGGGTGCTCATAAACCAACTGAAGCTGGTAGCTCCTCTGGTTCTCGGGCATGGCTTTGAAGGCTTCCCAGACACGGCCCAGCGTGTTGCTCGACCGTTTTAACGTCATGGTGTACTGTCCTGACAGGTCCAGCACATCCACGGGACTGTGGCAGGCCAGCAGCTTCTCATGGTATGGGAGCCGCTGGTCGGCCACTTCATTCCAAACGCCTGACACAGGCTCCGCCTGGACCGGCGGCTCGTATGGAGCATCCCTCTTTATGCTTGGCAAGGTCTGGATCTTCGCAGAATCCCCTGAGTTCTCCGGACTGACCCAAGCCTGCATCCCAGTGTCATCCTGGGAGTAAAACCTCACCATGCTAACGCAGGTCCTTGGATATAGTTTACAATCATGATGCACATTCCATACGCCAGGGACCCCTCTACAGCTTTCGGGCAGCCTGCGCTCTCCCCCGGGCGCCTGGTAAGCGAAATGCCGCCATAGCGAACTTCGACTGCAGAGCAACAGCGCCCGCCTGAAGAACATGTTTCCCGATTCGCACAGAGACATCCTGCTGTAATGTACTACAAGCAGCAGGAATGGCTTATCATCAGAGCAAAAGAAAAAAGAATCACGCGGAACAAGGATGTGCAACAAATCACGTATTAGGTTAACACCTCGTTATCTACCTCTTACTGTCCTTTTAATTAATCAAATACTGCAACTAGGCTCAATGAAGGAACTCAACGAGGCTAAAAAGGGTAACTATAACTGTGCCCTTTTCGAAAGATAAAATCAAAAATCGAATTTACATTAGAATCTCATCATCTTGCTGAACGAAACAAGTAACGACCTAAACAAATTCATAAAACATACAGGAAATTGTCACACACTGTAATAAATTACAACATTTAACTAGAATAGTTAAAGTAAGAGTTAAACCTTCATTAAGTTTTACACCTATGCATGTTTCCTCTACATGCTATTTTCAGGACGCCGCCATTGCTGTTATCGAAACGGAGAAGTGTCAGAACACTTTCCGGTACTGGTGTTTCAAAATAAAAGCCCAATGGCGACAATGGTCTGTCTTTCTTAACGACATGGTATAGCTCAAATAAACTGCTTTTCGAAAATATCTAAAAATACATTATACGTTTTATGTCACCTCCCCAAAAGAATGTCGCTTTACTTTACGCCATTAATCAGAAACCACCAGATGACCATTTGCAAATTTATTCCCAGAAATTCTTAATAAGTGGTGGCATGAGAACAATATTGCACATAATTGACATTTTAAAATATGTCATTCTAAAATGAAGATACATAATTTATCGTTTCATATTAGTTTTTCGGTATTTGAACCACTTTCACTAGACACTTACTTTGACAAAACACGGTAGTCGCTGTAGGGCGCATGTGTACATCCAACTACAGGAAGCTATTGTGTATCACGCAGTGTTTTACTTCCGACGCACATTTTACCGAACCTGTTGTTGAAAATAAAGCCTTGTCTTTATGTTCATTATGTTTAAGTACTTGCGTAGGTTATTTTAAGATTTTTTTCTAATTCATTTAAATGTACCCAGCTATACGTGCACATAGCGTGATCGAATACAGTTTAGATGTCGCTGTTTAAAGTCATAATATCATGATTGCAGGGTATCGCAGCCCTTCTTGATCGCTTTGTCGTTGAGGGTAAGATAACTGCACCATGGACGTCAGCATGTCGGTGTCGCTGCTGAGGGACCAGCTGGGCGTTGTGATCGAGCAGGCGGTGACCGCCGCGGTGGAGACGGTGCTGGGCGAGATGGCGAAGGTGGTGAGCAGCAAGTTCGAGGAATTCAGGAAGGAGATGTCGGCCAAAGAAAAGGAGAACGAGAACATCAAGCAGATGCTTGAAATATCCCGCTGTCAGATGAAGATGATGCGGAAATATCTGAGCGCCGTGGCCCCCAAGGACGAGCGCCAGGTGCCCGGGGCTGCGGCTAAAAGCGGCCAGCAGTCCGAGCCGCCCGATCACGGTGCGCCAGTAGTGGATACGCGGTCCTTCCCGCATCCAAAGCGGGCGTCGCTGACGGACGACGGAATTTCTAGTGTCAATGAGAAACGGCAAAACGCTATACCCAAACCCGGAAACATCTGCGTGTCTGAAGGTTTGCTCAGAACAATAACGTGGGACAAAGTTCCCACGAAGTTAACGAACGGCCAGGAATGTGCTTTAATAAACGCAGGGAAGGACTCGCTTAGTGTCAATGGTCAAGGCGTCCTAAGAGTGGATTTGCCAGGACATGCGTCTCACGTTAAAGGTAGGACAGATGTGATGGCGTTACAAGTTTACTTTAATTATTCGCCAATCGGCCAGTCTGATTTTCTGTACAGTATATTATAGTTTAATATACTGTAATTGCCTAATTAACTTGTTTACTTCTCTCAGTGGAGTATAGGGACTCTGAGGTGGATGATGGGTGCCAGCAGAGTCAGGATGGCCCCCCCAAGGGCACAAGGCCACCACCACTTTCACAGACCACATGTGCAGCCGCCCTAGAGCCGATTCCCTCCTCCCTCCATAAGATGGAAGCCCATGCAGTGGCTGACACCCCCTCCCCAAAGGTTTGGTGCACCCCCTTTCAGGCCAAGGAAGAGGAGGCGGTGGGGGACATCGAGATCGTGTGTATCAAGGAGGAGCCTGAAGATCAGCAGGCCTGTTCCCTGGAGGCCCTGAGGGTGAACGCTGGCACTCAGGGCCGCGAGCAGCAGCAAGGGTGGCAGGAGAGGTCCGATGCCCCGAACGCCTTGCGCGCTGAGGGGGTGGCAGCGGCGTACACTGCGGTGACCGGTGGCACATGTGAGTCGCACCGGCCCCGTCTACCCCAGCATGCCAATAAAAACACAGGAAGTCACTGTGAGCATTGCCCACACGTCATGAGTAGACACTTTTCTGCATCCATTAGTTGAGCGTCACGGTGAGTCTGGAGCCTATTCTAGGAAGCACAGGGCTGGTGACACCCTGGCTGGAATGCCGGTCCATCTCAGTGCATAAATACACATTATGGGGAACTCAGAGGAACCAGTTTACCTGAAGCACATCTTATGGAAGGAAAACACGGGGAAAACATGCTATCCACACACACAGGGCTGGGGCAGCAGTTGAACCCGGAGCTATAGAGGCGTGAGGCCGCAGCTGTGTCCCCACTGCAGGAGTTGATTAACAGAGAGGCCTCTGCCCCCAGGTCCTGGAGCTCCGTGTCTAACAAGGCGGTCTCTGCCCCCAGGTCCTGGAGCTCCGTGTCTAACAAGGCGGTCTCTGCCCCCAGGTCCTGGAGCTCCGTGTCTAACAGAGCGGCCTCTGGCCCCAGGTCCTGGGGCTCCGTGTCTAACAAGGCGGTCTCTGCCCCCAGGTCCTGGGGCTCCATGTCTAACAGAGCGACCTCTGGCCCCAGGTCCTGGGGCCCCGCGTCCCGCCCGTCGTCGGCAGTGGCTGAAAGAGCCAAACCTCTGCGAGGACTACAAGCACCGGCGAGCGGAGCTGAAGCGCCGCAGCCAGCACCGGCGCCGTGAGCTGGAGAAGAACCTGCCGCAGCCACTGCTGGCTGCGTTGGTCAGGGAGCGTCGGGAGAAGACGCGGCTGCGTGTGGCACGCTGGCGGGCCAAACGCAAGCTGCAGGCGGGTCTAATGGCCCCAGGGACCCCGCAGTTCGGCGGGGCTGCACCCCTACCCCCACCCACCATCCACATCCCTCATCCCACTGACTCGCTCCTTGGCCGGCGGCAGCCAGTCGCAGCCCCTCAGTACAGAAGCCTCCTGTTCAGCGGCGGTTGCCATGGTGATGGTGGCACGCGGTACCCCACCTTACCGTTTGGCTCCCACCCATTGTTGCCAGGACTCGGGTGCTCTTCGACCACTGCAGTCGCACAGCCTGGGTTGACGTCATCCGTGCAGCAAGGGATGATGGGAACAGATTCCGAGGTGTATCCAAGCAGCTTGTCCTGATAGCCTGTATGCTCACATGGAAGCATGTCAAGGGGGCCCACAGCCAGCCAGCAATGGGAATTGCAGCGTGCTGCTCTGCAGGATGCTGCGGGAAAAATAAGATTGAGTAGAGGAAATGTCCTTGTGCAAGATACATGACTTATTAGTATGTTTATTTAATTAGTGAGACCTATAAAACTGGGGAAATGAATGTTGGCTGAGATGTGGGACTTCAGGCCTCTGAAGTCTCGACAGAGGAATGAATTTTGTCATCAGCATGCTAGATTTAAACACGTACTTGTTTTAATTCCCATGACTCCGATTCGAAGTCAGATTAATAAGGGTTTTACTGCCATTGGAAACCCCATCGGGTATTCAGTATTACCACATTTCTTTTAGGGAGTATTCAATGCAGTTATAGTACTACAATAGTTCAGTTTTTTTCCTTTCAAATCATTTTTTTCGGTCCGCTTTTTCTGTTTCCTGTAGTGTAACGGACTCTTATCAGAACACGCCCTCCGCCCACCAGGTCGCGCGTGGCCTGTAGTTCCCGCTTCTAACTCCCATGTGACCTGCTTTCGCACAGGGCGCCGAAACCCAGAGCTGTATCAGCACTCTGGGGGCGGAATCCCCACTCGCCTGCATCCCACACGTTTAAACAGCTGTCGAGGAGAATAGTGATCCCTTAACTATCTTAGTGCAACACCGCGGCAAGGTCGTGGTGATCGCAGTGGAAAAGTGGCCTGATCCAGAAGAGCGTTCCGGCCCACCAGAGGGAGCTCATGTACACATCTAGGTGACACTGAAGTTTCTCTGTGTGGTTTTAAGAAGGATCGCCACAATTTAGGGGGGGGGGGTGGTTAGGGTGACCAGATAATCCATGTCATCCCGGACACCTTGAGCTAGGACAGGATATGTAACCTACCATTTCAATTAAAAGGACCTGAATTTCACTTAAGCACTGAGTTCTTGCTGTGTGCTGATTGGTCAGTCTCCTATAATCATGCACGTGTCACTAATGTTAATGTGAAACAGCTGGATGAGTCTTTCAGTCCAGGAAATAAACCAGTCAAAGCACAAGAAGAACGTAACAATTTAGCCAGGCGCAGGAGCCTTTCAGTTTTAAGGTAGTTTGTAAAACTTGAAGTTGCTCAAGGTGTTTGGGATGACATGGATTATCTGGTCACCCTAGGTGTGGTGCCTAGTTAATCACTGACTCTGGCTTTTGGAACCTAATGAATGTTATTTAAAAGTTCCTCTAAGAATTTTGGTCTCCATTCTCAGAATACTACGCATTGAGTTTAAAAACCAGAACGGGTAATACTGTGTGTATTTGCAATTACAAAAGACTTATTTTTTTAAATCAGTGGTGTTGGAGCTTAACCAATCAAAAATCTTGGTGGGTTTCAGCGTTTACCAGTGTCAGCGATGGTGTGCAGGGCCTGTGAGTTTTAGCTTGTAGGTTTACTGTATAAAACAAAGTTACTTTCAGTCACAGGAGGAAGTTCTGTGTTCTGGGGGGGGAATTGAAGGTCACTTCAGTCAGACAATTCATATGGCTATGTGCAGCATCATGTGATCAGCGCTCTGGGTGGAATTGAATTCACCCTGAATTTGGTTAATTAACTTTGCTTTAAATGGGTTTTTGCTAATATGCAAAAAATGAAACGTTTGTGATGTAGACGATGCCTCATCCTGTCACAGAAGTTGTGTGAGAAATAAAGGAGCTGACCAGTTGGTTGCAGAGACTTAAAGTGCACAAGTGTGACCCCCCCCCCGAGCGAGCAACTGTGGTGACCACTGAATGGCACTGGCCTCCAGGGGGTTTTAAACACCAAGGGCTCAGATTACAACACTGAGCAGTCAGACCTTCACTCATTTCCTTGTTTAAAGCCTACATGTCCCAGCAGCCCCTGCTCATGTGCTCCTTCCCAGCACAGACCACAATCATACACAGACCACTGAGCAAGCTATAGCCTACTCAATAAAACACGTTCAATATCTGAATTCCCCCCAGTGTTTTACAGCTGGGTGTGGTATAAATGCACTCTTCAGACATCATACTTCGGCTTACCGACGGCAAGCAGAGGCAGCCACTAAGCATAACATTTCACTGAAAATGAATTCAACTGCAGGATGTGGTTTTATATAAATGTATGGCAGTAAGGAGACAAAGGACACGCAGGATATTACAGCACAGAGGGGACCCACACTTCCTCACTATGGGCAGTATATAAATAATTTGCTTAACTCTGCATCTTCTGGAGGAAGCCGAAGCGGTTGGAAGAGATTCCCTGGCTAAACCTGCCACAGACCCAGGGTGGGATTCAAGCCCTCCATCCTGGAGGTGTGAAGCATTACCAAAGAGAGAAGCAAGAAGCGAGGTGGGAGGCATTTCAGCTATTTAGCTGAAACCATGAAATTCAGCAGACTTGCATTATAAAGTTGGTCTTTTAGATAGAATCTCCCTCCATGCACAGTGCCTCAACACTAGAAAGTCATTAGAAAACAAAACATTGCATACCTAGGTATACCCGTCCAGTCTGAGTTAACTATACAACTGGATTAAATAGATCGAAAATAGCAAAGTAGGCGTTTAAAGCCCTAACCATACTGCCTACTCTTACCTGCAGCCGTAGGAGGTGATAACCATGAAATATGCTGCCATTACGTCAACAGAGAAATGCTTTTATCACGCATGAAAACAGAAGACGCTGTTACTAAGGTGAAATGGTCACATGTAAAGTAGCTCAAAGTGCATACCCATTAATGTGTAGGCCTATAAACATTCACAAAAACTAGTCCTTTATTACCGGAGCGGCCCCCGCGATAGCGCTCGCAGTGTACCGGCTGCACGTACAGGCTCCCGTGTGCTCTCTGCATAGCGTATACTGGCTTTCAAAGCAGTTAATCGGTCAGTTTTAAAAAGTTCATTTAACCAATCCAAGTGAAAAATATTAGGCGTCTTTAACTCTAACAGTGAATTACTAGATTTCTAAATGTTTTTGGTTTTGCTCGTTTGAAGTATGTTTAATTAAAGGTGTATTGCTCTTGAACATATCTGGATTAGTCTCGGTTTACGCTGATATTTGCAGCATACAATCACGCAACCCGAATCGAAACTCAACAATCAAGGGCTTAGCTGGTTGACTAACCAGAACACAGGATATGCCGCGCCGGTTTAGGCTGGGAAACCTTGTCCTACGGGTTACAGCTGAACACCAACCTCCGCACGCCACCGGCTCTAATCTGGTCAACAGGGGGCGCCAGCCACCATGCGTCCCTCCGCGTTAAGACTCCGCAGCGGCGTTCGCTGCAGGACCTGCAAATTCTTCTGACACTTTAGCTTCAGGGTGAATAGGCTGCACCTGTGGGCTTTCGGTTTCTTTCATACATTATTGAAGAAAATTAAAGAATAAAAAATCCCCTGCAGAAAAGGACATTTAATAAGCCCCATTAACAGAGGTGGAAAGTTCAGGTTCAGAAAGTACAAATGCAGACCAGGGTTTTGTTTCAACCAACCAGCTGAATATAAAGAGTCACAGTCACAGAGTACTCAACTGGTTGATTGAAACAAAATCCTGGTCTGGATTTCTACTTTCTGAACCTGAACTTTCCACCTCTGCCCATTAACGATGGCTAGGCTGTTTGGGGCGTAATTTAAAAACTGTAATACTGACTGGTCAGGACGAGGGGAAAAGTGCCTGTTGACATAAGAGCTTGGCAGGGCGAATCAGGCTTATCTGGGGAATTTTAGGGTCAGACCGGAACCGTCCAGGGGGCGCTTACATGACGAACTTACTTGGTTCCTCGATAAAAATGAATACAGCGATCTTAGTACTGGACAAAAAACTCCACTATTTACTTGCGTGATACCAAGAGGTATCAGTATTGGTGAGGCCGAAATGAAGCCGACCACCGTTTTAAACATACAGAGAATAACGAGGTAATCAGCACGGATAACCATGGCGGCGTGACCCTCCCGAAGTTGCTTGAAGGTTACACCCCCTCCCCTCCATGGAAGCACGTTGCTTTTCTGGCGTTTAATTACACAGAGCACGTGATTAACGTTTTTGCCCTCATAGTTTATTCCACGACAAATATAGTCTTTTGCTCCTACACGTTTAGTATTAATGCAGGAATTAGAAGGAGATCCTTAAGGTTTAATCCCAAGTGAGGCATGAAATGAAGCAATTTCTATCACTGTCGTTAACAATTCTTAAATTTGCTCGGGATAGACTGCAGGATCCCCGCGACCTCGGACACGGAAGGCAAAATAAGAGAAATGGAAGCCAAATTAGATAAAATGAGCAATATGGGCAGGAGGTATTAAACGCAGAATGCATTTCCATATTGTGACCTGGTCCGGTAGAATTACAGTTTCCCGCATCATTCAACAAATCCCCGTAATGCAGACTGATGTCTCCCACAGACACTGATTCGACGACAGTCACGGTTTAAATGCGTTTATATATCAAGACACGATAAAATCAAACAATACATATCAACACATGACATTAATTAAAACTTCTCAAATCAAAACCATGTCCATCGAGGATTCTTCATGAAAATCTGTACATAGCCAGTTTTTAATCCTGTAGGCCTAATTGCAATTCTGTAAGCACATATTTCCCCCTATATATAAGAATCAAATTTTCCCGAAATGATTGTTTTCTGTTTCTCTTAGTGGATTTGGGGTCAGCACTTTGCATCCTGTGATCTTTTCAGTCTGGGTCACCTTGTCCCAAACACATTTTCAGGTCACAATTTGGCATCTGAGGCCAGTTGCTTGCTGTAAATCACTCTGCTGTTCAGATTATACAGGCAAACACTGTATTCCAAGAGACTATTATTGCAAATCTGATTGCTTTCCTAAGGGTTGTTTTTAAGGGTCACTTTGCGCCAAGGAGAACTCAAACTTACAACTTGAGTTTCGTGGGCATAGTTAAGGTTTAGGATGGTTTCTGCATGCTGTTAGCTTAATACAGTTTTATCACACAGTGGGGTTACCAGCTAAGGAAGTTTCAAAAGGTAAAGGGACTAAACAGCCATGACTGTACAAACACATTTTTTTTTTTTTTTTTTTTTTTAACAAAACCCACGGACCACATTGGCCCAGCTGACCAGGCAGAGACTGGTCACACTTCCTGAATTTCGCCTGGACAGTGTAGCTTATCCAGAAAGCGGCGTTTTTTCAAGACCGTGTCTGTTGTGACGACTGATAAGGAGGCTCAGCAGCCAACTTGCAATGCTTACTTAAAGGATATTTACGTAGGCAGACTTTCCAAAACTCAGAAGAAAAAAAAGTGGGTGTTTTCGAAACCAGAGCTCATTTATACCACCGACTGGGCACAAAGCTTCTCCGTATCTGAAATGTTTACCTTCACATTTCAGTAACAAAGCTTTACTCTTACCCTGAAAGTAAAAGGACCACATTTGAGTTTAGAGACTGAAACGCCCAGCTTATGTTTGGTAGAAATTTTTCTCCCTTTTCACCTGTTTTTTTTTTTTTTATTCTGAAGCGGTACCCAAATATTAGTCTTTGTCTTGGCGATAAGCAGCTTTGCAGAGGGGTGGCCGGCTCTAATGCCTGAGGGTGGTGCTGATCGCTGGCTTGCTCTCAGCGTCCGCCCCTGAATTTCCCTGCTGGGGGGTCATATTGGCAGGAGGCCACTTAAGCCAATACGCCAGCAGCCAGTTAACCACTTAACATATTTTCACCCCAAAACAGGTTGTCAGCTACCAGTCCCACGCTGCCTCGTTCACAGTCTTTGTTGTTCACCGTTTACAGAATTACATAGAACCAATATTGTCTCTTCATTTACGCAAGAAAGTACTTGACTAAACAACAACAAGGTGGTACGGAGCTTGGGGACAAATGCAGACAATTTACTCACAAAACAAACACGTTTGTCTAGTGTTCCCTTACTTTATGTTACAGCATCAGGACTAAATTTCCCTGGGGTGATGATAGCAGTTTGGGTCAAACATCTCCAAACTTCACTAGTGTCCTCTGGTCCACTGCAGCTGACCCATGTGCAGACATCCCACCTCTTCTGGAGGTTCCTGGACTCTCCCACATGATAGTAGTGACTCCCTGACATCCGCAAATTATATACAATATCCCGGAAATTTGTTTTGCAGAGCGAGAGCGCACAAGAGAGAGCAAAGACCCCAGAGCTTATCTAGAATCTTTGGAGGAGGACAGCGGGCATCTGGGATCTGCCGTCAACACGCAGGAGACTCCTGGAACTTGAGAGAGAGCTGGGATGTCTGCATGTACCTATCAAGCAGGGAGGTGTCAGATACACCTTAGAACTCCAGCTTTGTGGATCAGAAAGCGAAGATTGTTGCATTCAGAGACCCCAACAAAGGCAAACTTGTGGTTGCGGCTCTCAGTCTGACAGGTCTGATATTAAAAAAACAAAAACAGAAAACCACAGACAACAATCTCAGTGAAAAATATAACCTGAGGGGGGGGGGGATACCACACTGGGATTTTTTTTTCTTTTTGTGGTCATTTCTCAAGGAGAACCCAAACCCACAAACACAACACCAAGTTCTCAATTTAAGAACTTGCTGGTCTCCACACAGAACTTCTCTGCAAGAATTACGCCTGATTTGAGAATATTCTGACAATTAGGTGTCAATGTGTCATGTTGGATTTTAGCGCATTAAGGAACTTCAGTTAAAAAAAGCAACACAGATTAACCAATTTTTAAACATAATATAAAACATAGCAAATATTGCAAAACATTTTAATAAAAATCTTAAATACTTCAGTGTAGTGTCTATACTCTCGATTAAACAAATGTAGCTTAATGTCAGAAAAAGTAGAATAATTTGTCGCTTGATCATGTGGTAAAAACTGGCCAACTTTCCACTAGGATCTCTGAACATACAGCTACAAGGTTTACAATCGTTCTCTGAAAGGGGAAACAACTTGCAGGTTAGAATGATGTAACATACTCAATGTGCCGTGAAGATTAGCCTTGAATTAGCAGTTCCAATTTTACTATGGATTAGCCAAAAGTTAACCGAATCCTAAACAACACACAAATTCGAGTTCTATACACCCTCTTAAAGCCCAACAGCTGTTAGTGTGCAGGACCTGTTGGGACTGTGATAACCAGTCGGCTACAGACAAGGCAATGCTGTCAACCACAAACTGCCATCTAGCCCCAGGGCGGTGACTTCCTGTCGGTGTGGAGGGAGTCACAGGGACCCTACTGCCCAATCACAGACACAAGAGTAAACCGTAGCTGGTACCCGGCCTGGCCACACAGCGTGTCCCCCTTAGTGCGCTCAATACTTCATGGATGATAAATAAAATAAACAGTTTAGTCCGTTTCAGTTTCGTCGGCAAGCTACGACTCCTGCCAGCGGAGGCTGGGAGCTGGGGTCGCCGGGGTAACGCCTGCTTCCGTCTCCGGCCCGACGGCGATCTCGCCCTGGTCCCCATCTGTCGATTCCAGTTCACTTTGGTCCAGAAGCTCGAAATCCTCATCTGGCCCGTGGGCCGATGCTGTGGTTTGAAGCGGCGCCTCGTCCAGTTTGGCGGCGCCGTCGTCCGTGGAGACGGAGCCGGGCTCGGGGGCGCCGGGGGGGGATTCGCTGGAGCTCAGCAGGACTCTCAAGGTGCCCTGCACCACGGCAGAGATGGCGGTGTTCACGATCTCCTCGCTCAGTGCCTCAAGGGACGGGTTCGGGCCCCTGGGGACATCACTCAGTCCCAGTGCTGGGGCCCCCGCCTCCCCGTGACCGTGACCGTTGAAATGAGTGTTGACGAAGTGCAGCGGTGATGCCAGATGCCGGATCAGGAGACTCTCGGGGCTCTGTGGGAGGTTCTGGGGATCAGAAGTGGCAACATGGTTTGGGCCGGATGACGCTGGTGAAGCCTCGTGCCCACGGGCAAAATCGGGAAGATCCCTGGACAAAGACTCGCCTGCTTCACTGTTCAGGCTCTGCTGGTCCAGATCTGAGAGATGGAAAGAAAAAAGAACAGGAACTGAAGTCGGATTGGGGCAACCAAGCAACCTTAATGACCCAAGATAACGAAATTAAATCCACGACCAGACAACAACCGTCAGGTTCACAGATAACCGCTAAATGAGCAAAAACTGAAAATTGGCACTTTCTTCTAGAAACTTCATATTCAGACATGACCAGGAGATATTTCTTTCTAGAATTTACATCGGCCATATACAAAGATTCTGATACGTTCTGATATACCTATTATAAGGCGAAAATGTATTTTAAAACAGTACACCTAACCTAATAAACATCTTAGCCTAGCCTAGCCTAGCCTAGCCTAGAACACTTACATTACCCTACAGTTGGGCAAAATCATTATCACAAAGCCTATTTTATAATAAAGGTGTTGAATATCGTGTAATTTATCGAGTAATGTACTGAAAGTGAAAACATTCACCCATCACAAAGTCAACATACCATAACACGGACCATCGAAACCCAGGGTGTGTCCGTGTTACTCTGCAGTACAGTCTTTTGTTCTAAAGCCAGTATCACCAGCTTCCACATTTACCCCCGATTACCCTCTCAGTGGGGTTTGACACATTCCCACACACTTATTTGCTTAAAAAAAGAAAATGGAGCCCCACCCCCCACAACTTTTTCTTTCCCTCCGATTCTGTGACAAATCAAAAGCTCAAAAGTAGCTATAAGCCCCACAGGCTGAAAATGACCGGCTCCTGCTCCTGAGAATGGGAGGAATGGGAGGATTCTGCCGCTGCGGGAAGTGGAGGAAGCGTCACCCTCTGAGACGTCGCTGAGCTGTGGGGTGGTGGCTCTGGACACCGAGAAGCCGCCGCTCTCCAGGATGGAGACCTCCTCGTCGGACAGCTCGGAGTCGGTGATGGCCATGGCCAGCGTTGTGGTCTTCACGTCCACCTGCCCGGGAAATCAGCGTCAAATCAGCATTAAACCAACCGCCATCCTCTCCTCTGTTGTCATCTGCCTTTCCTTTAATTCTTCGCGTTTCCTTTCCCCCGTCTTCATATCCCTCTCTCTTTATGATGTTGCACTTACCACAACACACCCATGAAAGGGCCTTGGGGGCGACTCAGTTGTGAAAGGCGCTATATAAAAATAAACTGAACTGAATTCTCAAATGCACCTGGTACACCCGCAAGCCGGGCACTGCGACTGGGCGAACAGGGCTGCACTATATCACATCGCATTATGTGAAATGTCCATATGTGTAACACTATGATATTTATAAGACAAAAAAGGGGATGAAAATTACCTGAAATAATAAGTTCTGTTTGGCTGTAGTTCATCTATCGACAGAGTCTATCAAATAAGTTGGTGGTGTTGCTGTGAGGCACGAAGCATTGCCGACCAACGTGATGCGATTATTGCGCATGTGCATGATATTTCAAGAAGCCCTAGAGGGGAGGCAGCCACCAGGAGAGCAGAGGGATGGTCCTCAAAGCAGGATTTCTCAGACAGCTGGGTTAACTTAAGCTTGACGTCTTGATTGTCCAATAGGAATGCTCCTTACCTATACTCTTATTGGATGATCATGCCTTCTAGCTTAAGTTATCCCAGCTGACTGAGAAATCCTGCCTTGTGGACCATCCCCCTGCTCTCCTCCTTCAGCCACCAGGCTCAACACTTGGAGAAAGATCTGCCCCCGGTGGAGCAAACGGCCTCTGGATCATCCGGAAATTTCCGTTCTTTTTCCATCTACCCAAACCCAAGCTGACCGCAACTGTCCTTAGTTCACACACCGAATTAAAAGTTTATCGGACAGGGGTGACTGCATCACTGAGTGCATGAAACACCCACACACACGCACACACAGGTACACACACAGCGTGCGCACACACACGCACATGCAGGGCCTCACCGTGGGGGCGAAGCAGGACAGCTCCTCCTCACTCTCGCTCTCCGTCTCGGCCTGAGGCTCACTGCCATCCTCACTCTCCTTCTTCACCTCTGCAAGTCAAGTCAAGGGGCTTTTTATTGTCATTTCAACCAGATACAGTGATACAGTGCACAGTGAAATGAGACAGTGTTCCTCCAGCACCATGGTGCTACGTATAACACTACATCCACACAGGACTACATAAAAGTGCAAGGGTGCAAAATGTGCATACATTGCGACGCAAGACAGTGCAATAGAAGAAATAGAAGAGATGACAGTAAGACACGTCTTAAGAGTAAGACAGGCTAAGTGTAAAGGGCAACAGTGCAATAGGTTGTGCAAAAAGTTATTGAGGTAGTGGATTGTGTAAAGGTGTGTGTGATGTGCAGGAGCACATTAGAGAGACAAGGGCGTCTCGTCGCAATACGCTGAACACGGGACACACAGCAGCACGTCGATAAACAGCAGTACCATAACCTTTCAGTGTTGGGGTCACTTTAAGGACAAATACTGTGGAATTTAAGTAGCTGTGCAACAGCCTCTAAAAACTGATCTCAAAACAGCTTTTTTCCAGGTCACGCACCTATGCGGCTCCGTGTGAATTAAATGACAGCAAAGATTCCACTGCAGCAAGTTCTTATTTAAGCTACCGGGCAATGTTTACGGCAGGGGTCCCCAGTTCCCGTACTAGAGGGCCAGTCCGCTCCACACTTTGCAGATTTCCCTGCTCAAACACGCCTACTAAACCTGGCAATTGGCCGGTGTGCTGGATAAGGTGCGTTTTGGCAGGGAAATCTGCAAACTGTGGTGCAGACTGGGCCACCGGGATGGGAATCGGGGAACCATGGTTTACGGCAACACCGTGACGACCAGCTGACTGGGGGGTCCGGGGGGGCTGGGGGGTCCGGGGGGGTGGGGACACCCACTTCTCTTGTCATGCTTGTGATGCCGCTCCTCCCCCTTCATGCTGTAGTCCAGCTTCATGAGTACGGGCTCCAGGCCCGTGTACATCTTCTGGATGAGCTCATGGTACACCACCAGGGGCCAGAGCAGCACACTGAGCACTGTGCACGAGACAGACCACACTCAGTCAAACAGAACAGTGCCCCCTGGAGGTACCAGAAGGGAAAACAACCATTCGCCAAAGTCTCAGAACTGATACTATTCTAAGAAAAATCATTATAAGTTGCATTTCTATAGAGGTGCCCCGGCAGAAGCCTGTTTGCAAAAGCACATGCAGCTATCGCGGCATCTTTACTAGTACGAAACGAAGAGTTTGGCCATTTAGATGGTACCCTACTTACATATAATATAGGAGATCATGACGCCTGGAACATAGTGTCCTAAAACTGCCAGGACCAGGCAGCTTGCGCACATCAATGCACAGAACTGGGGGGGGAGGGGGGAGAATGTGATTACAGCTTCAATTAGCATAACAGAACATTGTACCTTTCTCAGAACAGGAAGCCTTCAATGCCATTGTACCTTTCCAGTACAATACAGATCACAAACCATATTTAATCATCTGATAGAGGACACGGATGAACTAGTGTGGAAAGGTTCCCACAGACAGCTAGTTTAAGGCTTGACATGTTTCTTCAGCTGGTTAAAAGGCATAAAGATGCAGTGTCGGCCCTCCAGGACCTCACCTTCCCGTGGTTCTGTCGTTTGTAGAGCAGCATCTCCTGGACGTAGAGGGTGAAGGTGAAGTAAGTCTCGGCGAGATGGTGACTGAGCTCGGGGACGCCAAGGAGCCGCGGTCGCACGGTCACGCCCTCCCTGCCGCGTCGGGAACAAGGGTCATGGTCGGGGTCAGAGCCCGAGAAAGGGGGAGCAGCTGCAACGTGCTCAGCGGTCGGAGAAAGAGGAGGTGGGATCGTGCAGAGGGATGTGAAGCAGGCATCACGTGCAGCACGGGGATAACCCCCCCCCCCACCCCCACCCAAGAAAAAAAAACCTGCACTAGTTAGCTAGACGTACCTTTCAGGCATGGCGGCGTCTGGATAATGGACTGCATAAAATTGAGAGAAAGAAGTTTGTATCAAACATTTTGAAAGCAAAATAAACAAGTACCACGTCCAGGGGAGCACAGGCTGACACTGTCTGCCAGTTCTCCCCAGGTCACGTGGGTTTCTGCCCATAGTCCAAAGACGCACATAGACTGATCTCTGAACTGCCCGCACACTGTTATATAGAAATGAAAAACAAAAGAGCACTTTGGCAGACCCTTGAGGATACAGCCCCAGTGACAAGCAAAGGCACAAATTGCTACTCTTTTTTTCTGACAGTGTAGGGTGTGTGTTTCTAATAAGAATTACTCTTTATTGATCTCTATGGGGATATTCTCTTTTCACCTGCCCCATTTTGCTCTCCATCACACACAGACACATATGCAGGTGAGATCGAGCCTGGCAGGGATGGGCAGACACTCAAAGAAGTGCTTGTGGAACTGGGGGTTAAGGGCCTTGCTCAAGGGCCCACAGATATGTGACCATTCTACTGAAGCCAGGTTCGAATCTGAGGCCTTACATTGACAGGCACAGAGGCTTAGCCTGCTGAGCCACACGCTGCCCCCAGTAACAGCTAGTATGGTATATGTGCTCAGAGACAGACTAGGATTCTTATCCACGGGATCCCGCAGCATTGTTCCCTGCGCTGCAAGGGATAGGCTGAACCGTGACTCCGTCCACGATAAAGTAATATTATAATAAGTTCTACAAGAATTTTTTAATACACCATCTTTGGGGGGAGCTAAAAGCTGCATGCAAAACTTGCATAAAACAACCCAACTTTACACCGGGAAAACCAGCACGCTGAAGCTTCCTGCCGCGCGCGACACTGATACCGGGTACCTCACCTGGGATGCTGGGCAACTTGTCCTTCCACCTTTCGAGCAGCACCAGACTGATGAGGGAGACGCTGATGAGGAAGATGGGCCGGAGGGGCGTGGACGACAGGAGCCTGCGGCACAGGAAGCGGACCCATGTGGGCTTCGCAGCGCGAGACGGCGCATGCATTTACCGATAAAGTGCAAACGCTTTTACTTAACCACAGATCACGCCTTTTAAAGCGTTTCAAGGGCGGTTCCGCTTTGCTATAGATACTGACATTTAGACCTTAACCAGAGATCTCGCCTGTCTCGCTGAGAGGCCATTGCACCGTCCATTTAACGGATGCTTATGCCCCTGCTCCGGCGCTCCGCCTTATAAAGCAGCTTTCCTCCTTAATCACATTTCTTTGCAAACGCGATGGGGGCGTTGCCCCGTGCCTGCCACGAATTACCAGAAATGGCCGTTTTTCGCTTTACCAGAACGCGGTGTTGAGGGCGAAGGCGCCGCAGATGCTTTGCAGCGGCCTCTCCCACACCAGCAGCCTCTGCGCCCACAGCACCGCCGGCTCGTACTGCCACAGCCAGCCCTGGAGGCGCTCCCGAAGCCTGGCCAGCTCCGGGCTGCCATCCCCGTCCGCTCGGCCGGCCGCCTCGGCCGTGAACAGCGCCTCCAGTCCTACCGAGGAGGGGGAAACGGAGGGGCGTCCAGCCTCCTCCACGCTCGCCATCTTTTCTCCGCTCGGTTTTGTTGTTTTGTGCATGACGGGGATCAGTAAGGGAGGGTTTCTCGAAGGCCGTCATGCATTTAAAAACCAATAAGGGAAGATACTGTAGCCTTTCCCTGTCACGTGTTTTTTCCTGTTTACGGCCCGGGAGCGGACAACGCCTCACTGTCGACACCTACTGGCCTGGTTCGTAATCACTAACTTCTAAATGAATTTTGATATCCCCTGCAAGTATGAACATAGGCAACAAACCACAGTAGTATTTGCTGTTCCCCTGACTTTTCAAGACACCAAAAGCGCTTTACAGAACCAATGGGGAAACACTTCAAGCACCACCACTGTGTAGCCCCCACCTGGATGATGCGACGGGAGATATTTTTCATATTATTCTGAGATGGGGTCCATAAGCTTCATCAGGCTGCGAAGTGGGTTGGGAACCTCAGGTGTACTGTAATTTCTACATCTGCACTTAGGTAAACGTACATAAAGCCTCACAACGACATTAGGGTGGGTTCGAATAATTTTCCTAGTTTCCCGTCATAATCACGCCACTCACCGTATAAATGACGACGATTCTTTTTTTCTACACACCTTTTGGGAACCGTTCCATAGGATCAAATGGATAAACAATGTTGTTGAAAATATCTCGCCAAAATGTTAGTACCAGACTTTCACTAGAAACAGACTGATATGTAGAACGATAATATTATGTGATCAACGTTACAACTGATATCGTGCTGTACATTTGAATGTGAATTTGGTGAGTTATTAACATACTGTAAAAAAATATACTGGAAAATATGAGAAATAATAAACATTAATATGCTGAATACATACTTTTGCATTTAGTTTGTAGCGTTTTAAAGTATGATTCGAAAGTTAGATGCCCTTTTTCCACAGTGTAACAGTTTATGTGTACAGTAACATAAAACGTATTCCTTAGTTGTAGTAAATCATTGCTTTCTGACTTATGTGGGAGCTATCTTTGTGTGTGATGCTGTGAGCAGCTACAGCACTCCTGGAAAGCAGAAGACCTTTGATCTACAAATAATAAGAAAAAACAAAACTGTGCAAACTTCAAATGTCACTGTGATGAAACTGTAACATTCGTTTTTATTAAGTACAATTACTTCAGTCACTGTAATATAAAATCTTGCTGACGTGCAAAATTCTGCAGTTAAAAAAAACACATTTATCGTAACCAAATGTGAGGTTTGAAAAGAAACGCTGTAAGATAAAATACACCAAGAAAATCGATACGCTGTAAACCTCTACCTCATTCTGCACAAGTAACACTGGGATTACTTGGCAGAGAAGTGCTGCTGTCCCGTGTTTTACAATGCAGCTTAAATCAATGCACTGTTATTTACAATTACTTGTTTATGATTATGTCAATTAATGTCAAGGGAACGGCCAAGCAAAGATACTTCAACAATGTTTAAGTGATCGATACTAGACAATATAAAATATTCCATACAAAATACACAAAAAATAAATTATCAGGCAAACAATGAATAGGACCGGAAGATTAATTATCACTTGTTCTAGAGTGTATACATTTCATAAATCCAACACTGAAAAATCACTGTTGTTATAAGTGGATGTATATTTAAAACATTTTTTTCTTAATCCGTGATTCATTTCATACTTTCTTTGAATTGTCACAGCTCATTTGTCTTGAAATCTCTGAAAAACACAATACAATGACATCTAATTAGACACTAGATATGTCCATCTTACTCCAAATGTGAATTATGTTAAATATCAGGATAAGGAATAAAGGCTATTGAGCTAAATATTAAGGATGACCTAGATTACAAAATAAATGTTACAAATGTATAGCTTTGTGATTTTGGTTTATGCATTGGATGGTATTCCCATCTGGAAAATCAGAGAAAAGTCTACACTGGATATTAAAAGCCAGGAGAGTCGCGTCAGCTATAAGCCATGAATGAATATGAAGTGACAGTTATATGCAAACAGAATGAGGAACGTGTCCTTCACATTCATGAACGTGGAACCAAACCCTTCAATTGCAGGTGTCATTTGTGGGCCATACAATCTGTCAAACTGTGTGGATGAAAGACAAAAA